ACATTCCACTTTGCTTATGATCTTCTTTGAGGCTGTGACAGTAATACACGTGATATAAACGTTTAAAAAATAAACAGCAAGAATTAAATACATATCAGTTCGGAGACTACCCCAGTAAGGAACACCAGCACCACACCCAGGACCAGATCTGTATTAATGCCCTTATTCAACAGCTGTGTTTATCATTATCCTTTCCCCTCAATGGGGGGAGTGATACAGTATTAATACACGTGAATACTTAAAAAAGTAATTTAGCTGTAAAACATGTCCCAATAATTTCTAAAGTTCTAAACCCTAAATTCCTAATCTAAACCCTGGAAGTTATTCTCCTAGGCAGTTACTTACATAAACCAATAAAATGATGAAAGGGTACAAAACAAAGTTAGAAAATACAAGTGTGGTGTCATCCTCGTGTTTGCGTTGCTTCTTCTGTCACAGGGCTGGGTGTGGTGGGTGTGTTAAACAAGAGGCTTCTCTCTCCTTGACGCCTGGGCAGTGCCGGGTTCTCCACTGGCAGGAGTCCACACTGAGACTCTGGCACTGAGTCCGCACTGAGCCCAGGAGCGACCAGGACTGAATTCCTGCAGGGGCGGCGCCATTTAGCCAGTTCTTCCTGGTGGCCTGGAGTCCATCCTGGAAGCACAGGACATGAGAAGGGACAGGGCACACCCCTGAGCACAATTTAGAGACTTTGTTATTCTCAGGGCTCTTAGCCCAGAGCCTGAAGACCATACCAGAAAGATAACATCTTGGGAAAGTTTTCTCATTTGCGTGTGAGAAGCAAGGGCTCTTATCTGTGACCGATATAAGGATTTAAACTAATTACTTGTATCAGTCAAGGATGAGATAAAAGATAATCTTTCAATTTGTTCAGTTTTATGCATGTTAAAAATGCCCATTACTGATATTTTAACTTTATCTTAAATAGCTTCACGTTTACATTTATAAACAATTCTGCTCTTCTCTAACTGCAGGCCGCTTTTTTCTTCCCTAAGCAAGAAAAGACAGCTGGCAGGACAAGGCAGAAAATAATTGATGGGTATAAAAGTACAGCAGAGATTCCTGACTCCACTGGAATGTTGCTGGATGCCGTTTGTGTAAACAACAACTGACATCTTTGGAAGGGAGCCTTGGTGAATACTTGGGGTTTGAGATTCCTCCTGGGCCTGCGACGCAGGCCTGGCCTGCTCTCTCCCTCGTCCGGCAGCTCTGGCTGTTTCTGCGCTGGTGGGGTCATGTTTACAGCTGCTCTGCTCTTACAGCGATGTACTGGAGTATACGCTCCCAAAGCTCACTGGTGTGCTGGTCAGGCAGAGGTCACTCCAAGCTTGTGTAAGGCAAGCGGCCTGCTGTGTGCATCGGAATTGCTCTACAGAGTTTAGGAGTCCAAAAACATCATCTGGTCCAAAGCGGAAATTAGCTGCACACAAATGTTTGTAAACTCCATCACGGTTTTCCCAAGAAAACCTCTCAGTAGTCTCTGTGTGGTGTACAATCCTGTGTATCTGAAGTGTAATGCCCACTGAGGTGTGTGATGGCAGATGCCCTTGAGGGAGGAATGCAGGATGAAATACAATTGTAAAAAATATTTTAAATGTGCACACAACATTCTCACCCTCCTGTAACTTTCACACATCATAAGTCTGTTCCTCGACCGACACGAGTATATTTTCACAGTAATTAGTTTTGTCAACATGGATTTCCTCAGGGAATTGATAAAAATGGATAGATATGAACCTGAACAAAGGAAAGGTAGACACAAATGTGTCCATCTGCTGCGTGCCTGTGGGGTGTTTCCTCAATGTCGGCTCAATTTTCACCATGAACCTCCAGTACTTTCAAAATTTGCAATGAGCAGCTGAAGAAAAAACAAAGATGTCCGTGCATTGGTCCTTGATTTTCTATAAATAGATGTTGAAAATTGAAACTGTAGTTTTACTTTATGTTTTGTGTTTTTGCACAAAACTAGGACCGACGGATATTTTTCAGTTCAGGTCTTATGTCTGTTTCATTTTCAGCACATTATTCCTTGTCTAGTCCAAAGCTTGTTTTTCATTGTGTGCACATTAATTATGAAAGCCTAAATCCTGTTAAACACAGATGATCAATTGCATTATATGTGTTATAGGTGTCTCTTATTTAGGGTATAACAGGAAGGCTGACTTCTGCTTTCACAGCTTAAAAGCAATTTCTGATGAAATGTGTTTGATCTTAAATAACTTCCTCTGATGAATATAGGCCACAACCATCTGCGTGTCAAATGTTAAGCACCTTGTCTTCCAGGGTGTTTACTGTAGTGTCTTGAGAAAGAAATGGAAAACGTGGTTTTGGCAGGGCTTCACTTACCACTCCACAGGAAGCAGCTATCTAAAGACCCGCATGCTCAAACCAAAGCCCTTTTACGAGAGAGCCTCTCGTCTGTGTATTAAAAATAGATTGCAGTAAAGCTGTGTTCCGTTCTACAGCACACATCCAGGACCATTATATCATTACTAAAGAAGTGACATATGGAAAAGCAAAGGATGTGGTTTTCACTGGAAGTGGAAAATGGGATTCCTGACACAGCAGGTGATGAAGCAATAGAAAATCCCTGTCTATAACCTGTTTTGTCCCACATCTAGGGCATACTGTATCTAGGGCAATATTCCACCAGTCCCGTAAATCAGAATATTTCTTATATCTCATAACCTACAACAATCTTTTTCATTTAGGTTAAACGTTATGACTAACAACTGCCTGCCTCTTGACTGTGAATGAGGTTGCTCCCAGATTAATTCAGAAACGGGTTTAGTCAGTTTTAACGGATATGAAACGTTCCGAAGTAAATACAAGAAAATACAAGAATTCAAGAAAGGTTACAAACAAGAGGCCGTGTGGCTGATCCAGCCCGTTGGGTAGTTAGCTCCTACCTGATCTGAGGCTCGCGGTCAGCTGTTTCTTGAAAGAAAGCAGAATACTGGCTTCAACAACATGGCTGAGCAGCTTGTACCAGACTCCCACAACCCTTAAAATTAACCATCCTCTTTGGAGAGATTTGTGTCCACCTGCCAATATAGAAATGTATCAAGCAATTCCATTTTAAAATGTTTTAAATCGTTTTCCAAAACAACTTTAATTTTCCTGGAGCAGACTGAGAGAAATACCTTTCTCACGGGCACAACAGCAGTGTCTCACCTGGGATTTAAACCCAGATATGATTTCAGAGCTCAGAATAATAATAAAAACCATCTATCATTCTCACCAGCTCAGTGTAAAACTGTTTCACCCCACTGAACACAATTGCTAAGAAAATTTAAAGACCCATTATCTGGGTCTAACACAAAGGTGATCCGTGAGATCCAATAGTGACAGTAACACCAGGAGCCAGATAGTAGGCTGTGTGGATTGAAGCCCATGTGTCAGCTATGTTGCTACTGTGGATGAAAGTAAAGTGTGCTAGCCAGAGACACTAGTCCTGTAATTGCAACATTTCTGCTGTGCTGTTAGGGTTGTCAGAGGCTGAGGTCTAAAGAGAGAGAGTTTTGCCTTCAGAGGTATTTGTAGAAGAAGCAGTGAGCAATGAATAACTTCAGAATTACACTACTGGTGTATGGGGATGAAAAGTCTTTCGTGACACTATTAAGTTTTAAAAAAATGCCCTTTTCATTATCCATTTTCAGTATGAAATGTTACACACTGCTACATACATGATCACTGTTATGTTACACACTATCAGAGTGATCAGGAGTGACCTTCCTGAGGATTAACACAAGCCTTGCAGTGTTGAAGCACGGACCTGATCTGCCTCTGGCCAGACGGCTGTGGGACATTGTGCCACTCTTCCTGTGCAGCTGCAGGCAGATGGCCAAGCTTTTCCACCTGTTGACAGGACTGGCAAGTTCTGGTCCGGGCTCAGGTCTGGAGAAAAGGCTGGTCACAATGAGACCTTGACAGTGTTCTCCTGAAGGTTTGGGAAACAGACACTTCTGCATTGGCTTGCACAAATATCAGCTTTGTTCATTTATTGCTAAGTAGTAGGGCTGCCTTCCATCTGCATCAAAGACATTCCTGTGTTAAAGGAGAAACCCCCCACATCGCCACGTTTCCACCTCCTCTGCATTTGGCTTGAAGAACACAATTGTCAACATAATGTTTTTCACAACAACCCCACACCTACTAATAGTTTTAATAAGAAATATTGGTAAAGATATGTGCCTCCTGTTCACTGCTTAAAATGCACTTACAGGAACATAAGAACAGTTACAAATGTGAGTTGGCCATAGGGCCATCTAGACATTTTAGTAGTTAGGAAGTAATTCATCAAATGTCCTCTTCCAGCTGTTCCGTGAACGAAGCCTTCAGAAGCCTCAACAACATGGCAGTGCACCTTGTTCCAGACTCCAAGAACCCTTTGTGTAGAGATGTGCCTCAAGTTGTCAGTTTTAAATATTTATTTTAAATATATAAATTATGTGTAGAAGAAGCCCAAATATAGTTGCTTTCAATGCAATTTGTTTTTGTTCAAAACTTCTGTTATCTTGTGTTTCCCTCCTACACATTTAATGTGTAACACTCTCCGCATGCTAATTACTCTCTCTTATGTTCATAATTGCAACTAGATTTTCAAGTAATTGGCTGCCTCAAGAAAAAGGCTGCTTCCAGACACACATCCTTTTTAAAATTCTCGGAATTTCTATAATCTGCAGGATATAGATCATTAGTCACCAGTGGCAGAGAAGTTCCTAGTTAATCACTGAAAGGTTACTGTCCATTTTTTCATTACTTTGTGCTTCAACACTTAGGTGATATTATTTGCATAGTATTTTAGAGAGGTGGAAAGTTTGCATAAAACATTAAAAAATGTAAGAACTATGAGCTTAATCAGTTTTTTTTAGTAAGTCTTAAATAATCAGAATCCATTGTTTCATTTTAAACTTTTGTGAAAAGCTGAGAATATATTGAAACATGTTTAAACTTTCTTTTGCTGAAGTCAAGTAATTCTGGTCTGTTTTGACAGGATGTGCAAAGCCCGACGCATCCCAACAAGGTTTTTAATGTGTCAGAGTACAGTAGTACATGCTGGGCTGCAGACAAGTTTTATGGAAAAGGCTCAAGAAGGGAGCTGTGACAGTGCGCGTAGGCAGCAAGGAAACAGGTAAGATTCACTCCACACGGAAAGATGAAGAAAAAGAAAAAGTTTCGGCTGTGTTTCAGGTGTATTTTTATGCTTTTCACATTGCAGAAATGGGTCTTGTTTTCTGAATATTCTATTACACTATAGGTACATGAGAGACTTGTCATGCTTCTACTACTGCTGTGAGATCGTTGGTGGATCTTGGGCTCAAAGTTATTGTTAGCAAAGACAATCTGACATTTTATACTAGACCAGGCTGACTTTCTGAATAGTCAAATAATAATATAACAAAAATAAAAATAATGACTTTTACTTTGCTGCAAACAACTATGCTTTTAAAATCAGAAGCATAGCCCTCTCCTGGCCCATGTAGTGTCTTAGGTCAAGTGTGATCTTATGTGGGATGCTGATTATGTGTTGTTAATGTTTGTGCTTCTTTTGATACTATTAATCTTACCTGCCTGGAGAACTCTCCAAGACCCCTGTTGGTTCATTTTGTGTCAAGTGTTCCCTGCCTGACAATAGCTGTGGAACCTTCCTTGGTTGTGGAAACTCCCGAAGAAGGCTCCACAGCCGAAACGTTTTGTTTCCTTTCTTCTCTTTTCAGCAGGAATAAACCCTTACTTGTTCCTTTGCAACCTACGCATGCTGACGCAGTCTGACATGAACACTCATGGTAAGGGTCAAGTTACTTAACTCATCAGTTCCCATATTGTAGATACTATCTTAACTTTTTGGTAACTCTTGTGTGCACAAGAGGGCAGAATAAAACTTTCTACTGCTCCTATTTAACATTGTTAGTCGCAGATCAGATTTCCTGGATTTTACAGAAAGGGCATTGCTGTTATGGCTCTGTTTACAACTGATTTTACAAGTATAGAGTGCATCAGTGTATTCAACACAGTTAAGGCAGCTTGATATCTTCACAGTGGCCCTGGGGAACTGCTGTTGGTCAGAGGTTAATGTACTGGCTGCCATGAGCGATGGGCTACAGGTTAATCACTCACGTTCAATAATAAACAGCTGCCGTTAAACCCGCTAAAATGAGTTGCAAGAAGAATCAAAAACAAAACTTGAGAAATGCCTGTGCAAACACAGTTCACATCTGAACTATTACTATCAGCATTCAAGAAGACTTTTATCCTGTTTTTTTTACAACAGAAAGTAATGCTTGTAGGAGAATTTAAACAATATTTACCATGGATTATTACAGGCTACGGGGCTCAGAATACCTAATAATTTATTGGGGCTTTGTATACCATACAGTTTCAATAAATAATCAATTGGAAGCTGTAAAAGACAAACAGTTTCTTTCTGTTTCAACTTCTTCACCTGAAAGGGGAACCATTTTTAGCGGGAACAGTTTCCCACTGAGCTATTTTTCCACTGGTGCTCCTTTTCTTAGGATTTAGACCAGAGCTGGTCAGACCAGAGGCCTTTCAAGTGAACTTTCAAACATTCCTCCCAAGCGAAGCAGATGAATCAGGACCAGCGCAGGAGACTGAAATGTGCAAACAATTAAAGCAATAAGGGAACAAATCAAAGTGGGACCCCCTTGCATCTGGCCTCTCAGGTATGTGCTGTGGAGTAAAAGTGCTCTGCGTGTGCTCTCCAAGTCAGCTTCTCATGACAAATGACTTTTCGTTGGCCAAGTTTCTCATAAACATGCTTAATTTGCTGGGGGAAGAACAGCTTTCTGCCAGTTGTTGACAGGAAGCAGAGCTGCAGATCCTCAGCATGCTGACATGAAGTAGCGTGCTCAGGGCAGCAAATTCCAACCCCTCGCCATGAAAACAATAAGGAACAAGTTGTGTGAAATACACCGGTCTTTCATGCAGAGGGTAATTAAAGAAAATGTCAGTATCCCGAGACAGCAGGTCCTGAATTTGCCTCATGAGTAATTCAAGGTGACAAGAACACATAACGCTGGAATGCGTTTGAACTGCAGCAGCTGGCCGCAATGTCACAATCTGCTTGTTTCACTCTTTCTTACACTGCGCAATCACCCCAGCTCCACAGAGGAGGCCTTATCACTCTGACCAAGAAAGCACAAAGCAGTTGACGCTCACGCACAAGGCTCCAGTTAGTCTCCTTTGATCGTTCTCACTCACCCCATAATAATAACAATATCCCACTCTGCTTTCCTGAACGATTCTTAGTGGAACATTTCTGGAGGAATGTGAAAGAGCCAGTTGGAAACTATGAGGACGCACGAAGAGAACAGGACAGACATCTTTACACAAAGGGTTGTGGGGGTATGGAACAAGCTACCCAGCCATGCTGATGAAGCTGATATCCTGGCATACATGTTCTACATGTCCTATGTTCTACATAGGCTGAACGACCTCCTCTCCTTTCTAATCACTTGTATGTTTTTTAATCTCTATAAGTACTGTAAATTCAACAAATATATTCACAGACAGTAAATCAGGTAATATACTTGATAAAGACGAAACAGTTCTAACATGTTATTAGTCCTATAATTATTTTTTTATTTCCTTGTTATTCAGCGGGACAATCGCAGCAGATTATGAACAGGCTGAAGAACCGATTCTATATTTAGCGCTTTCTGGTTGTTCCATTCAGAATGAATACAAAGTTAACATTTCATACACACGATACTTAAATGTGGATACCTAAGGGCAGAGCATTTGTTGTAGGTAATTAATAAAAGTTTCTTTGTTTGAAGGCTCGATGTGAAGACTGAACAAGACTTTACAGTGCATTCATCCTCTGTTCTTTGTCAATTTACTTTGGGCCAGAATCTATGCATCTCTCTGGTATGGTGACATATTTACTTCATAGTTCCAGACGAACAACGTCAAGCTCAGTAATCCAATAAAGAGAATAAATATTTAATAACTGTAATGCATTATCTTCCCGATTTATTCAAAGAATGCTATTAAAATGAATGTAGTCAGAAGAATTCTCTGTACTTTTCTTCAATACCAATAAAAAAATCAATGTGACGTGACTGACGCTGGAGGGGTTGTAAACACTGGCTCGCGCATCACCAGACATTCTAGAGCCCTTGACAACGACACACAAGCCGCTGATTTAGATATGAAAGAACATGCTACTTCGTATCTTGTCCTTCAAAGCTGATTAAATGGCACAGTGTTTCCAGATAAAAAACACACTAAATTCCACCCAGCTAGGTCTGTAGTTCTGACAGAGCTGCGTGACCTGAAATGATTGCAGATTCCCTAAATAGGGATGAAGGTGTTCCACTGAAATATGTGGGTCACTATTTGACCATTGTGCTATTAAGTTAAAACAATCATCCGCCCAGTTTCTAACTTTCTGAGAAATGGGCGCTCAGCAGGATAGGATACACCCTGGATGGGAGACCTGGCCATTGCATGACACTGAAATGATCATCAATTAAGGGCACCCAGGTTCCAGACTTTATACTCTGGGATTATTGACTTGTCACTAATTATTTAAATGATTTTTCTTTGGCAAATCAAAAAGTAATGATAAACACAGAATAATACTGTAAATCTTTACCAACTGATAAGAAAATAGATTTAGACAAAGAGAAAATTCCGACCGGACAATTAAGAAAACAGTTCCAATAGTCCTGTATATCTCTTGCTGGACAGCTCTTTCAGTTCTGATTGATAAATTGCTGAGATTAAATTAGGTGTGATTTAACCAACGTTAGGGAAAAAATCCAGTTGGACGCTTTCCAAAACCACATCCGAGAGATACAGCATGTCTGACAATCTCCTGTTATAAACGCTGAACATGAGCACAGTTCGTCTCTCGACTTGTAGCCAAGAGGCTTTTGGAGTCTGCCCAGTCTAAAAAGACACTAGTGATACAGCAAAAACCTGGAAAGATTTGAGTTGTGGACTAACAATGATGCTATGGTTAAGAACACTAAAATAGTTTTATATTTGCCTCACAACGAAGCAGAGACCTGTTTATTCGGATGCCTTAGCGTAGTATGCCTTAGTGTTAGATGACTTAGTGAATTCCTAAGAATAAGTTTCTTCTTGAATGGCACACAGACCTACTAATTTAATCCAATATTGTATATGTCTGTCGAACTCTGGCTAAAATAATTTTAAAATTTTAATTTCAAAAAGCTTTACAACGGTCTATCAAGCAAGATTATTTACCTTACCACAAAATAATGGAAATCATTTTTCATGTTACTATTGTCTTTGTCTTTCCTTAAAAGGTTATCAAATGTAACTTGATGGATGTGATGAAGTGACTTTCAGGACCTTTTTTTTTTAAAGGGGACCAAAATAATTTAATTTCTCACGAGCTCTGCTGAATGGCAGGTCTTTGTGCTTCTCCTAAGCCGTGAAGGAACTACCACATAGCTCCTTCTAGTTTTACATGAAATGTCTGCAGGACATTACATTTCTTTTATGTAAACTGTCCCACCTCCTCGGTGTAATTTAAGTTCTGTTGGTTATGAAGTGAAGTTTTTCTCCACCACATTAAACAGTTCTAGTGCATTATAGAGGGGCCATAATAAGCACTCATGTTAGAGGCTGGGCTCTGTGTCAAGCCTCCAAGCAGTCTGAGGTCAGTGAGCATGTTTTGTGTGGTAGGCCGGAGAGAACTTGTTCACCATACTGATACTCCTGTGAAAGTCTGTTACCATGGTTATCTATGATGTCTTGAAAACAAACTCCATGATGTTGAAGGTTAGAAAACTCAAGAACACATTCCTGTGCCCAACGGCAAATTTTACTAACCTCTTCACCACCTCACACCTCTGCTCTCTTTTTCCTTTACCTAGAAGGCACAATTTCCTCAATTCAACACAATAGAAGGTGTTACACATTCATAGTATGGTGACAGTATGACACAGCAGATTTATTTTGTCTGAAAATAGTCTTTTCATTTTCCT